GAGAAAGATATGTTTCTGATGGCCCCATACAATTAGGTCGTCCGTTATTATCAAAGCCAAACCTTTTACCATTATTTTTTGTGTATCCAACGTTGGTCTATCTAATGTCACTGTTACTACATTTTATACACATAATATAAACCATATTTTTTTTTTTGCTAAAATATAAACCATATTTTACATGTAGTAGACCGATCAATTATGATAATTGTATGTTCTTTTGACGATTTTTCCGTATTGTTTGGCCATGTGATCGACCAAAAAAGAAACTACTAGTGAAAAACGTTTAGTTACATTTACGTAAATTTTAAAACTTATCGACAGGGGTCCATAATAATAAAATATTTAACATCGAAGCAATAATCACGTATTAATGATTACATGTCCATTTTCCATTATAGCACCGACAGTAGTTTCATATTCAAAACAGAAAAAGGAACTTAAGAATTATTTTTCAAACCGGAAATTCAATCGTGTAATGCAAGTGCTTATGTAACAACAACCCCTTTTTTCTAATGATTGAAAGACTACTCTTTGATATGTAAAAAGATAAATCTGTTCATACAATCAGAAAATAGTCTTATTTGTTTTCACCGAATACAACAATATACTTTACTTGGAATTACGGTGCTAGTATGGCAGTCAATTTTTACAAATTTTATGAATTAGCAAATCATTCATCACACAAACATACTGTCTACGGATAATTATTAGAAACGTCTGAACCACCTATAAAAACAACCGAACAATACTTATTAACTCCTATTACAAAACATGTATAAAGGCATCACTAGTAACCAACATTTTACTTAGGAGGTTAGATAAATAAATATACAAAGAAGATGATAAAAAACGGTAAAAGAGAAAACGGTTTAGTTGAAACACGTTGTTAAATGATAGTTATGTTCAGTGGTACGCAATTGTTTCCTAGACGGTTCATCTCATCGCTGCTTTGGTTTTACCACTTATTTGGACCGTTTGTTTTGGTCGTTATTTCATTCATCCGTCTAATTGGTAACCCAAAAAGCAATTCACATCCAAATATACTTCCAATTAAACTAAGAGGATTAATTTGCTAAATAACTAAGAAACAAAATTGAAACTTAAAAAGTAACCAAAACCCTCTTACGTGGCAAAATATAACCCTTGAATTTAGGGG